CCCTCCCTCTCTCTCTCTCTCTCTCTCTCTAAATATGAAAATGACAAATTCACCCTTTTCATGACTTCAAATCATCTCACTCTCTTTTCCTCTGTTTTTTTTTTTTTTAACTAATCACATTGTCTCACTGTCTTCCCTCAATTTCCTCGTTTACTTTTTTTTTACTAATCACATTGTCTCACTCTCTTCCCTCAAATTGGGCTGGGCACGACCCGCATCCGACCATAGACTTGGACCGAACCCTGTAAAGTGCTAAAGAGTTTTGGGCCCGGTCCAAATCTGGGTTGCATTCAGGTCGGACCGAACTCAAACCTACTCGATGGGGTCATGGGTCTTTAAATAAAAAATTATTTTATTTTATTATATAAATTATAGAATTTACAAAGTGGTGTCAGGTTACCTTGACTTCGATCAAGATTTGACCTTTCGTGATTATAGCAAAGATGGACAGAGACCTACCCTAAACCCAATTATTTGGGTCCTTTGGGTCTAAATATATCGGGTCACCGACCCATCAGGTCAGACTCGACCCACTCTCCACCATTACGCATTCGCCTCGTCAACAATCATGCATGTTCCTTTTCTTGTCACTCAAAGTAGAGGTGACAAATTTGTCATTTTTCTTATTAAGGATGCAATCTTTCACCATCCCCCCTCCTCCCTCTTAGGGTGCATGCATCTCTACAAGAGGAAAGCCTTCTCATGGAAAAGGGCAAGCACCCCTCGTATCTTAATCACCATTTTGTAGTTTTCATTCTTACATAAATAGGGGTTTGTATTTTTCGTTGAATTACAAAAAAAAAAGAAAAACCTTTATATGGCTATGCTCTTTCAAAATTATACATTTTTTTTTATTCTTTTATTTTCTGATAGCTGAGATTAGCTACATTGATGATAAATATAGAAATTGCTTATCTAAAAATGAAAATAGTGTAATTATAGGGGATGTGGAACTCGCCGGCAATAGGATCGACTTAGGCCTAGCCAGCCCAGCTCCAACCTCGCATTCTTACCATATTTTGTGACCAAAGGCCTAGTTTTTTAGGACCGGATAAGGCACCCATCCTCTCTTTTTTTAAAGTTAATTTCTCTCTTACATAATTGCCATCTTGCTCATCAAGAACTCAACATTAAAAATCTCTAACCAAACAAATGCTCTATTCCGGAGATTGTACGCCTTTTCTTTTGTTGGACTGCTATAGCATTAGCCATGTTAGTAATCTCCTCTACTGCAACTGCCCACTCTGCTTATTCGACCTAGCAAGAACACTCATTTCCAAGCCTGCTTATCAGCCTGATAATTCCTTTCTCTTTTTACAATGCTTGAAAATAACCCCCTTGCCTTGTAGCCACAACCTTTTTTTCTTTTCTTTTTTTTTGAAAGAATAGGTTTAGGTTTTCTGATATTCAAATTAATGCTCCCTTTCACCACAACCTGACCTCCTCACGATTTGTCTTAACCTCCAAGAGACCTCCTCACGATTTGTCTTAACCTCCAAGAGGGTCTAGTATGGGTTAGAGACTCAAAGTTATCTGAAGAGAGTCTCTATGTCTATTAATCAATATGAATATACAAGCTTGTCTTATATAGACAAAGAATATAAATAAATCATATACCTATATATTATACACTGACTTACCTTAAAATATAAGATATTGTACCTACCCTTCCCATGCATACTAATTTGACATTTAATGAGTAAGAATGATTGTGACTTCTATGTACAAAAGATAAATGATCTCTTTGTAGACAATCGTTTATATATGATGTTAAAGTTTATATCTTATAGCTATTTTGATAAATTTCCCTAGTTTGAATAACGGTTATGGCGGCTCTCATGCCTTTGCATGGAAGCCGTGACTCTAAAACAATCAAACTGGTTTAGGGAAATAAGAAGGGTCAGTTTTATTTTCTCAAGAATATGCATGTTTATAAGGTAGGGTTAGGAATAGGCTGGGCTCAAGCCAAGACAATATCAAGCCGAGTCTGGCCCACCAAGCTAGAGCCCTAGAATGGAACAAGCTCATTGGAAGGGTGAGGCTCGGCCTTAGCCTGCTTTTTTTTCTTTTTTGTTAGATTTGACTACGATGGCTGCCCGGCTAGTTCTCTAATTTGCACTTGGCTTGTAAGGCTATGACGTTATGAGCTGTTCAAAAGAAGACAAATTTGATTCTTTCAAAATATTTGAAAAGCTAATGCATCAAAGAATTAGCTGTTATACAAAGATGTTATATAATTCTTGGTTGTATTCACTACTGAAAACTCATTTCTTGCAGCCACGAACTCTACATTCCTGTCCAATAAAATCATGGTAAGAAGGCAATTTTTTATTGAATTATTATATGATTAAGAAAAAGGCCAAAAACATCCCAACGCCTTCCACAAATTGATACAAATTTAGTTACTTTATTTTTAAAAACTTTCCTCAATAAAACTGGGATTATACACAATTAGGCTAGTATCTTCCATGCACAAAGGTCACAAAAACCTCAAGTTGTCGTATGTAAAATCCAAGGGCTAGGGTGATTAGATGGCTTGGGTGTAGCATTTCTCCGCACAAAATCCGAGAAAAATTTTGATATTAAAGAATCCAATATCGGATTTTGAGTGTGATGAAGGCCAGCTACCTAATTTTGTGTATCTTTTTGTGGTGATTGTGATCTTTTTGTACTGCATATAAACAATTTCAAATAAACTTTCCCTAGATGATAACGGAAAAAAAAAAAAATATTCTTCCAAAATGCTTTCCATATCAGCTAGAGAAAATTGCATATTTACCAATGGGGCACACCATGAAAGTTTTGTAACCCAAGGAAATTAGCATATGAAACCTCCTTAGGCTGTAGATATTATAGTAATTTTTTTGTATTGTTTCCCCGGCAAAGGGCATTATAGTTATTTCTCTTATTGTCAGGGGACTTTTCCTCCTCTGATCTCAACGGTCTGATGTCTAGGAAGAAGGGCGCCGCTCATTTCAAATCCAAGAGCCATTATAATATGAGACCCATTCCATCAGTAAAATACCATTATGTTTGGATTAATTTACAGAGATGTCCTTACCTTTCAGCTTGTCCATCGGATTCAGTACCGGCCTCAGCTGCGTAACTCGGCTAAATCTTATACAAGACTCAAAAAATGGTAAAAATTCAGAAAATAAGTAAAAAAATTTGTTAAAAATATTTAAAAATTAGCAAAAAGTAAATCAAGTAATAAAAATCCTATAAAAGTCCCAAGAAGTACGTAAAAGCTGATTATTGACAATTTGGTTTGTGCCTTAAATATTTTAAAAATAAAAAATAAAAAATTGGAACATGTAATAAAAAAGTTCCCAAATTATCATAAAAACCATATAAATTATATAAAAATGTATTTATAAATCATATCTGGAGATCAAAATTTGTGCTTAAATAAATTTTAACTGGATGATTTGGCCGTTGGAACTCGCATTGGCGGTAGACTGAGGCCGAGTATGAGTGGACTTGGCAGAGTCCTTGAACACTGCTTTTCACATTTCCTTGTACAACCAGATAAGCCACTGAATCAAGTATTTATTTTTTGGCTAAACAATAAACCAAGTATCTGAAAAGGTGGTTTCACTAATTTGGGCTGAGCATGCCAGGAAGATTAGATAAAAATGTTTGCCTGTTGCTCCTTGCATAGGTACATGGATCAATTTTACCATTTGCTACTTCATTTTGAACTTCCTAAAAAAAAGAGTAAGATATGGAAGATGGGGAATAGAAATTTCACCTGTATTATACAAAGGGTTGTTGAGGAAAGTGTATATAACATGGCTAATTATAGAAAGTCTCTTCAAAGAAACATAAGACTCTTCATAAAAGTGAAGTGTCCGCACAAACCCATGCTTGCAGAGTGGAAATGGAAAAAAAAATTGAACTCTAAGACCTTTAGATTTTCATCAGTTTGCGTTGGAACAGCTACCCCGAGATTTGAGAGACATGAGTCTTCTAAGGTACCTGCACATAGGACTTGTAGTTAAGGAAGAGAGCAATATGGAGATGAATCACCTTCATTTGTTAGTAATAACCAAAGCG